GAATATATTTAGAATATATTCTAAATATATTCACAACCATTGTGGGAGGTTGCAACTTTCATTATCCTCAATTTATAAATGAGGAAACTGAATCTCAGAGAAATTAAGTGATTTCCTTTTGATCAAATGGCCCCAAATGATAGAGAGGGGATTCAAAGCAAGGCAGATAAGTAAATATTGACTGTTTAGAGTCCTGGGTCCCTCTAATTGTTAGTATTCGGGGAGATAAAGAACCAGCAAGATGAAAAGGAGGTTCCAGTGGGTAGGAAGAGAAGCTTGAATGATGTTTCCAGAGCGCAGAGCACAAAATGGAGAAAATGCCCCATACCATCAAATGCTGCTGGCAGATAAGGAAGATGAGAAAACTCAACACTGACCTTTGCATTTAACAAAGCGGCTCTAATCAGTGACTTTGACAAAGGCTGTTTTGAAGCAGTGGTGGAGTTAAGGCTCAGAGTGGGTCCAAGAGAGGATAAAAGAGGCAATTAAGTTCAACCCTGGAGTTCAGCACAGATACCACCCCCTACCAAGTCACAGGTATTCACATATTAATACAAATTAAAGCAGCCGCTGAGATTTGTTGTACAAACAAAGCAGGGATTTGATTGGGAGCTTGGTGAAGAAAAGATAGGGGTAATTTTACAGCCATTTTCAAGGAGAACAAACATGATTTCCTTTATCTTGGCATTCAGTTTTGGTCTTTCCTTCATTAAAAATTTCCAAGCTCCAAATTTGCCTATCTCCTCTTTTCAGAATCAAATTTTCCCAGGACCATGTTTTATTTGTTTACTCATCCCCAGCGTAGCCCAGGACCAGCCAAGGAAAGTACCAATGCAAGTGTGATAAATGACTAACATCCTAAATGTTGAATATCCTACCCTGAAGTTATTGTTGACTACTTGTTGTTCCCATAATTAGCCTATGCTTTCCTTTGTGTACTTTCACTCATTCAGATCAATAAAAATTTTTATGCCCATCTTTTTAAAGCCATGCACAAGATCTTGGTTTTCCTTTTATTGTGTGTATTTTCATAATAGCTTATTACCTGTCCCTTTCTCTGTTCCCATCATTAAATAGTAAAGCTTCTCCCGGTAAAAGACTTTACCTTTGAATCCACAGAGAACTTTTTCATTTTCCATACTTTCCCTTGTGTTTTACCTATATGGACTTGTCTTGTCCCTTTCCCCAGCTTACTATAAATTCCTCCAGGATAGGAACTATCACATGTTTTTTTTTTTAAGATTTTATTTATTTATTTGACAGAGAGAGAGAGAGATCACAAGTAGGCAGAGAGAGAGGGGGGAAGCATGTTCCCTGCTGAGCAGAGAGCCCGATGTGGGGCTCAATCCCAGGACCCTGAGATCATGACCTGAGCCGAAGGCAGAGGCTTAACCCACTGAGCCACCCAGGCACCCCATCACATGTTTTAATTCCTTACAGCACAGTGCTTAGCACATAGGAAATACTCAGTATACGTTTTTTGAATTAATGAGTGAATATTAAAGTTATTTGAGTTGAATGATACTGACCTGTACGAAATGATACTGCTGCTCACCTTAGACAGTGGGACCTCCCATCCCACATAGTAACAGCTGCATAATGTCTTCAGCTTCGAGACAATTCTTATTTAGCTAGATTTAGGAAAGGTTAGGTAATACTATAACACATCAAAATAATAACTAAACCCAATGAAATTCGAAGTTTAAGATTTGTTGGTTTTCTTTTTTTAATATATTTAACACTTTAAGATATGTAGTTAATTAATATACCTACTAATTGCTTTTCTTAAAAGATTGTATTTATTTATTTGACAGAGAGAGAGATCACAGGTAGGCAGAGAGGCAGACAGGAAGAGGGGGAAGCAGGCTCCCTGCTGAGCAGAGAGCCCGATGCGGTTCTTTATCCCAGGACCCTGAGATCATGACCTGAGCCGAAGGCAGAAGCTTAACCCACTGAGCCACCCAGGCGCCCCTAATTACTTTTTTCATAACTTCTCATATTTGAATCAGTGAGTATTCTTTTAATTTACATTCTTTCGGGGTGCCTGCATGGCTCAGTCATTTAAGCGCTGCCTTTGGCTGGGGTCATGATCCCACGGTCCTAGGATTGAGCCCTGCATTGGGCTCCCTGATCAGCGGGAAGCCTGCTTCTCCCTCTCCCACTCTCCCTATTTGTGTTCCCTCTCTCACTGCGTCTCTCTCTGTCAAATAATAAATAAAGAATCTTTAAAAAAAAGAAAAACCTTTCTTTCCCTCTCTCTTATATTTAAAAAAACTACATTCTCTCTTCTTCTTCTTCTTCTTTTTTTTTTTTTTAAATAATCTCTACACTCAGTTTGGAGCTAAAACTCACAATCCAGAGATCAAAAGTTGCATGGTCTTCCAACTGAACCAACCAGACTGCCCTTTTTAATTTTACATTATTTCTGATCATCTGGTTCATAAAATTATAAGAAATTAGACTGCTAATTCAGTTATGGACACAGCTTTCACTAGTACATAGAAGTGATAAAACCAAAGGGATATAATCAATAGCTTTAATCAAGGATTTTACATATAATAGTGAGTGGTAGAATCTTGAAAACTGAGATTTCAGACCTGTTGCAAATGGCTGAAATGAAATGTTAATATATTTCCTCAAGCCTTGAATGAAATAAAATGGTATAACATTGGTATAACATTATATTATATAAACATATAATAGAGATTGTTGGTAAAGAGTGGGTTAAGCAGGTGCCAAAATGAGGAAGGCAGAAGGATATTTAACTATGGTTACTCTCTACTATACACTTGACGGTTTGGCTTTTACTACTCACCCAAAATACTTAGTTACAAATTTGCCAGAGTGACTCAATGAGTGAACTGCCTTGTGTCAAGAATGAATAACTTTCTTTGGAGGTTTTAAATCACAGAATACCACTTCATTCTATTTGAGGATGAATATTATATTTTCTTGACCCCCCTAAACTATCTATGTTAGATTCCATATGCAGAGGCTACCAGAATCTTACAACTAGAAAATAACAACAACAACAAGGGGTAGTTAACTCATTATATTACAGATGAGAAAATTTAGGCCCAGGAAACCTGTCATGCATCCCAGTGGTTATCAGTAATCTTCAAAACTCTAACTCAAATCTAATCACCTTGCCTCCAATTTCTATATCTTCCACTCTTCCAGCTTTCCTTCATTTTTTGTATACGAGATCAGTAAATTGAATGATTTGGGGATTTGGGGAATGTCTCTATTTAGCAGAGAATAAATTTTCTATCTGCCATTGGATCTACCTTCTTTTAAAATGAAAATGCCTCGGGGTGCCTGGGTGGCTCAGTTGTTAGGTGGCTGCCTTGGACTTAGGTCATGATCTCAGAGTCCTGGGATGGAGCCCCTGCTCAGTGGGGAGCCTGCTTCTCCCTCTCCCACTCTCCTGCTGTGTTCCCTCTCTTGCTGTCTCTCTCTCTCTCAAATAAATAAAATCTCAAAAAAAAATAGCTTTAGGAATTAAAAATAGTATTTGTATAATATTTTACAAAGGCATTTCCACATATTTTGAGATCAGTAGCTGCCATTTCATACAGATAGTGATCATCATTTTATTAGGGTGGGGTCCTGTGACAGACGAGTCCAAGCAGCTGGGGAAGCAAGTCTAGGTAGCTGGAGGGTTCATTTGGGTGGGGGTTTTTGCAAAACTGCTTGGGGCCAGGCAATTGGAATTTATTGGTAAATAGTGACTGTCTTTCTAAAGAGGCCTTTTCTTTGAACAGGTAGGTCAGTGGTTCTTCTCCCCCCACACCCCGCCCAAGATTTTATTTATTTATTTGAGAGAGAGAGAGAGAGCGAGAGCACAAGCAGAGGGAGCAGTAAGCGAGGGAGAGGGAGAAACAGTCTCCCTCTGAGCAGGGAGCTGGATATGGGACTCCATCCTAGGACCCTGGGATCATGACCTGAGCCATAGGCAAACGCTTTACTCACTGATCCACCCAGGCGCTCCAGGTCAGTGGTTCTTAACAAAAGGTGATTTTTGCCACCCAGGGGACCTTTGCCGTTGTCTAGAGATATTTTGATGGTCACCAATGGGGGTAGTGGTGCTCTTGGCATCCAGCAAGTAGAGCCCAGGGATGCTGCTAAACATCTGACAACGTACGGAACAGCCCCCACAACAAATTATCTGGCCCAAATGTCGGTGGCCCTGAGATTGAGAAACTCTGTACTAAGGAAAAACTCGTGGAGGAGCTAGAGGAAGCTTCTTGAATTATTACTTATTTTATGCGCATAGGAGCAAATAGGTCACATACACACTAATTTTTTTTTTTTTTTCTTTTTGGATGAGGCTAACAGTTCCTAAGAAATCTGGAAGACTTTATCTGGCTTTCCTTGCACTGCATGTGAGTTGGCCCAGGTCACTAAGTTTTGTGAAACTGCTGCGGCCCTTGGCATCCTTCCTTTTTGGCTTTAAGAACTCCGTCCTAGCTGCTAGCTTTTTGGCGTCTTCTGCGGTAGCAGAGAATCCTGCGGGTAACTTATACATATCCAGGTGTTTGATTACGTTGTGGTTCTTTTTTAAACAAATGTTAGATTGTGTGACGTGCCTCACAGGACACAGGAGTTGCCTCAAGGGGAATCAGATTTTCTTCAGGAACTGACGGACCTCGAAGGAGAGGAAGGTCAAGGGCTCTCCCGACAACAGCCCGCATCCGACTGCGTCTCGGGTAAACCTCACGTCCGAACACAGCCTCTGCGCCGGCGAGCACGAAACAGCTCCAGCTTCACTTAGAGGTGCGCGAGTGCGCGCGACCCGCCGCTGGGGCTGCGGAGGAGACCAATGAGCGGGCCCTCTCTCCACGCCGGCGCGGGATTGGGCAAACCGCGCCAGCCTCTCGGCCTAGCAGCGGGCGGGGCGCGCCCAGAACGAGCTGGGATAGGCGCGCCCGCTGCGCCAGCGTCCCGGGGGCGCGTGCGCGGTCTCGCGGCGGCCGCGGGGGCCGGTCTCGCGCGGTCTCGAGGTGGAGTGAGTCGCTGGCGGCGGCGACGGCGGCGACTGGCGGTGGGGCGGAGGCGGGGTCTAAGGATTGTGAGGTGGGGAATCGGGAGTTTCTGGATTCTTTATCCGGTATTTTAAGTGCCGCAGGGGAGCTGTCGTTTGTGCAGTGTGTGGGAGCGGTCGGGGCGGGAGGATCGGCGGCCCGCGGTGGCGCAGAGGTAAGAGGCGGACCAACGTCGTCTGTGTGGAGATCTTAATCAACAGGTCCCGGGGAGCGCGTGGGGGTGGGGAGGGGCGGCGGGGCTCGTCCCCTCCCCCACACGCCGCTCTCTCGGCCCGAGCGGGACTGGGGGCTGCTCCGCTGGCTGCCCCGGACGGCGGGAGCCGCGGCTGGTCGCAGAGGGCGTGAGCGCAACCTTTGTCCCTTGGCGGGGGAAGCTGCCCGGCCCCGCCCGCTCCCTCTGCCTTGGCGTTGGGACCACCTTAGCGGGGGCTGCAGCCAACCCGGCCCGAGTTACGGGGGACAAGCCAGGGAATTAATTCCTTGCCCTCTGCTTCCCCCGCGCCCGGGTTCACAACTCCCGGGACTCCCTCTAAGGCCCGGCGGGGGAAATCGGTGGGACGAACACTTTCCTTTGGGAGACGGAATGTAGTCAAGCGTTCCTCTGCCTGACTCAGCTCCTGGTATTCGGAGCTTATTGCGTCCTTTAAACGAATAAACAGTTCCTACTTCCTTGTGTCCACTTTTAAAGAAAAACCTAATCTCGTTAATGGTTTCTGATAATTTACGTGAAGTTTGCAAGGTGAACTTTGAAGCCTGTAAATTATTGTAGCCCTCATTTAATGGAAGACGCTTTAAACAATCTTTGGCGCAAATTATGTAACTTCCTAATAATAATAACTCACCTTCTGTTTAGTTGATTGGCTTACAGTAATGTGTGCCGAATTTAGGTTTCGGTAGGAAGGTTTTTCTTGGCAGTTGGCGCTAAAATTAAAATCTGATAGCTGAGAGGTTTTAAGAAGTAGCATACAGTGTGTGTTTTGTCTCGTACTCCTTTAGAATTGTGAGCATTTAGATTTGGAAATCCTGTGGAACGGGACTTTGGAAATTTTTATTTTCCTTACAAGGTAAAAGGTGTTAATGTTTCTGATTTCATGCTTTAATGGTGGTATCCTAATTATGCCTTTGGATTATACCAGAAGTTAATAACCTATTAAATTCTGCAATAGGAACAAATGACATGTGGTTATTGGTGTCTTTGAAGTTTAAGTATTAGTGGTAATGAAATTGTTAAGTAAGCTTTTTTGGATTATGAACTACTGGTTTTTTACTAGTTCCCTGTGGACATGGCATATGAAGTCTTAAAAGGCTCTTTAAATTGTAGTAGGCTGAAGCTATTGAATTATAATGTAAGATCTTTATAGATGAAACAGGCAAAAATATGAAAAGCAGTTCATTGTTATCTTTGCTAAAAAGGACCAGGTAAATTTTACCATGTATTTAAATGACTTTTGACTAGACACACCTGAACTTGACAAATAAAGGTGGACTCATTATAATATTAACTTGCTTTAGAATATTGAAATGGAAGAGTTTTACTTGAAGGTGACCTGAGTCAGTATGGTGGGTTTGGGTGTTTATATGCTCTTTCTGACTTATGATCTTGATTAAAAAGTTCGACACAAACATAACAAGAAATTTGATCCATTTTATGTATCAGTATACTAAGATGCTCTATTTCTCTGATAGTTTCTGATTGCAGGGTGTCTGGGAGAACCAATTTCTCAGCATAGGTTCTTTAGGTATAATATTTGACTATATATTTATTGAATCATGGGATTCCTGAGTTAGGAAGTAATCGTAGTGTTGTGTAGCTTAACCTCTTCGTTTTCCAGGAAAAGGAAGTGAGGTCTGTAGAGTTAAGTAGCCCATAGTTTGACTGCTTTTTAGTGGCAGAGTTGGAACTAAATACTAAAATACGTGTCTCCAGATTCCAAGTACGGTGCTCTTTTCACTGTATACTATTATTAGATAAACCAATAAATTATTCTTCTCAAAATCCTGTATGTATGTAGCAGGATTGATTCTTTTCATTTTCTTTCTTTTCGTTTCTCTCTTATTTTAATAACCACTAACAACCATTAATTAGTTCATTCTCCTATGAAAGGGTTGCTTTCAGTTTTTCAGTATTTCAGGCAATGTTTAGTGAATATCTTTGTGCATGTCTCCTCTGGCACATGTGTGAGGGTTACCTACCCTAATTGGAATTGCTGGGCCATAGGTTGATGTGCATTTTCAGTTTTACTAGCTACAGCCAAATTATCCTCTAAAGTTTAACAAGTTAACGTTCTTGCTAACAGTATATAAATCATCTTTGCCCACACTTGGAGTTGTCAGATTGGCGTGGTCAGATTTTTAAATTTCTGCCAATCTGATAAATGTTTCATTTTCCTTGTTTTAAAAAGATTTTTAACTTTATTTTTAAGTTACATGAAATGAAATTTTGTTTTGTTTCTGTACAGTTTTTGTTGTACAGTTGTTTTGACAGATGCAGAGCTGTGTAACTACCAAAATCAAGTATAGGTCCAGCACCTATAAAATTTCCTTAAGCAGCTGCTCTTTCTTCTGTAATCAACCCTTCCCTCCATCTCCTGTAATCCTTGGCAATTAATGATCTACTGTCTTTCCCTGTAGTCTCTCTTTTCTAGACTATCCTATAAATGGAATCATTCAGTATTTAGCCTTTTGAGTCTGGTTTCTTTCATTTAGCATAATACAGTTGAGTATTCATGTTGTGAGCGTATCAGCAATTCCTTCTGTTTTACTGCTGAATTGTAGTATTCCGTTGTAGGGATGTACCACAGTTTGTTCACCAGTTGAAGGAGAACTGAGTTAGTTTTTAAATTAAAAAAAAAAAATTAACTCTGAAAAAGTTGCTATAAATCTCTGGGAACAGGTTTTTGTGTGAACATAAGTCTTCCTTTCTGGGTTATATGGTAAGTGTAGGTTTACTTAAAAAATGGTCTGTGGTAGGCAGAATAAGGTTCCATAAAAATATCCTAATCCCTTGAACCTACAAATAAACTAGGTTATAGCAAAGACAAATTAAAGTTGCAGTGGAATTAAGGTTGCTAATCAGTTGACTTTAAAATAGGGAGAGTATGCTGGTTTTATCCACAGTAGTAATCCAATGTCCTTAAAAGAGAAAGAGAGAAGTAGTAGAGTAGGGAAAAAAGATCTAACAACAGAAGCCACTCCAGAGAGATGAAGAGTTCCTGGTTTTGAGGATGGGGAGAAGAGCCGTAAGCTAAGGCATGTGGTTGTCTCTAGAAGCTGGAAAAGGCTAGGAAATAGATTAACATTTGGAGCCTCCAAAAGAGAACGCAGCTCTGCTAACATCATGATTTTAGCCCAGAGAGGCGTAGGTCAGATTTTTAATGTACAAAGAATAAAATAATAAATTTGTGTTGTTTTTAAACAGCTAAGTTTGTGGTAATTTGTTAAAACAGCAAACTGTTTTCCAAAGAGGCTGAACTGCTTTGTATTCCTACCAGCAATGTATGAAGAATTTTGCAGTTACTTTACATCCTCATCACTTTGTGTGGTCAGTTTTTTTGTTTTACATTCTGATAGGTTTGTAGCAGTTTCTCACTGTGGTTTTTATTTGCATTTTCTCATGAGTAATGGTGTTGAATATCTTTTCTTATGCTTATCTGCCATCTGTGTATCTTCTTTGGTGAAGCAAAATCTTTTGGCCATTTTAAAACTGGATTTTCTAAATTTCTAGTTTTGAGAGTTTTTCCTAGTCCTTTGTCCACCAGGTGATTTACAAAGATTTTCTCCAGTCTGTTGCTTGCCTTTTTACATCCTCCTAACAGTGGTTTTTGAAGTACAGAGGTTTTAGATTTTGATGAAGTCCAAAGTGTCTGTATTTTTTTTTGGATCTTTTGACATTGTGTATAAGCAGTTTTTGTCTAATCCAAGTTACAAAGGTCTCTCCTATGTTTTCTTTTACAAGTATTATAGTTTTATATTTTACATTTAGATCTGTGTTTCATTTTGAGTTAATTTTTATATAAAGATAATTTGGGGTTGAGTTTCATTTATTTGTCCTGTTGTTCCATGACCATTTATTGTGAAAAGACTGTCCTTTCTCCATGGCATTGCCTTTGTGTCCCCATCAAACACCATTTGCTACATTTTTGTGGGTCTGTTTCTAGACTCTTGTGTTTAATTGAAATCCTTATCTTTTGCCATTATCAGTGTCTTGATTGCTGTAGCTTTAGAGTCTGGAAATCAGGTAATGTGAGTTCCCCAACTTTATTCTTTTCAAAAAATTACTGTAGCTATTTTGGTTCTTTTGCCTTTCCATATAAATGTTAGGATTAGCTCGATAGCCACAAAAAAATCTGCTAGGGTTTTGATTAGGATTGAGTTTAATCAATAGATCGACTTGAGGATAATTGACATTTTAACAAAGTTGAGTTTTCCAGTCTATGAAATAGTATTTTTCTCCACTTATTTAGGTCTTTGCTTCCTTTCATGAGTGTTTCATAGTTACCAGCATATAGATCCTGCAACTATTTTATTGAATCTATACCTAAGTAATTCAGGTTTTTGGTCCTATTATAAGCAGTCTTAAAAAAAAAAAGTGGGTTTTGGGGCACCTGGGTGTCTTAGTCGGTTAAGCATCTGCCTTTGGCTCAGGTTATGATCCCCCAAGTCCTGGGATGGAGCCCTGTATCCCCACAGAGCAGGGAGCCTGCTTCTCCCTTTCTGTCTGCCTGCTGCTCCCCCTGCTTGTGCACACACTCTCTGTCAAATAAATAAATAAAATCTTTAAAAAAAAAAAAAAGGTGAGTTTCCAATTGATCATTGCTAGTATATGGAATTACAGTTGATTTCTTTTGTAGTGACTTTGTATCCTCGGTTTTCACCAAACTTATTTATTAGTTCTAGGGGGTTTTGGGGGGGGGTAGATTTCTTAGGATTTTCTCAGTAGACCTCTCTGTGAATAAAGAATTGTTTCTTTCTAATGTATATGCTTTTTTCTTTTTCTTGATTATTGCACTTACTGCACATCTCACATTCTAGTGAGATGTTTGAATAGAGTAATGAAATGATACATCTTTGCCTTGTTTGCAGTCTTAAAGGGAAAACATTTAGTCTCTCACCTTTAAATATGTTAGCTGGGGCACTTGGGTGGCTCAGTCAGTT